CAGCACCATATATTTTATTGCTAAACAGATTTCTGTAAATTTTTTTTGACTCTGTATTACTCAGCCAAATTATGTTGACTGTATTCAGATTAAAGTACACTTTTATTTACACAGAAAGAACTTTAATAATTTTTTGCTCACATGTCACAATCTCTCCACTCTCCTTATCCAAGACGCCTAATGATTACAGAAGTCCAGCTAATGCCACAATTTAGCAACACGATTACAACAGTTTGAAATTGTGCAATATGCTTGATAAGAATAATTAATTATGAACAAGAACTAAACCAATCCATGAAGTTTAACACAGTCATTTTCAATTCATACAACTTAGCTAACCACTCTGATCATATTCCTCTCCTCATTGCTCACAAACGAAGCAAAGAACAATCATCAATGATAAAGATCATATGAAATGAATCATTAATCTCTATCCGCTTCACGCTCAGAGAAGAATATCACGACTCTTCATCGTGGTTGGCGAGACCAGACCCTTTAGAAACACATTTCTCAAGTTAGAAACTATAGAAATGATCCCTGAAAGTATAGTCTTAACATGAACAAGCTTTGAAATTGCATCTGACTAACAGGACTGTCTTCCTTACTCAGGGTTCACACATTGAGACCCAAGAATGTTCAACTTCTTCAGGTTAGCCAAACAAAACATTCAACAAACTATAGGTTATATGATGTAGCACTGAGTTTCAGTTCAACTTGCTAATAGTAAAAACTCTTCCAGTCTATTTAGTTTATTTAAGTAGAGTGCTGAGTGTCTACTAGAGATGTGACGTTCAAGAATGATCCAGATTGTTTGAACGGCTTTTTATAAAGAACTATAAGAACTGAGTTGCAGACAATAAAGAGCTGTATACAGTTTTAATTTTTCCTTCTTCGTGAATGTTCCCCATCACATACTGAATCCATCCATTATCTTTACCCGCTTCTTCCATTTTGGGTCATGGGGGTTGCCGGTGCCCATGTCCAGCAATCACTGTGCAAGGGACGGGGTACACCATGGACGGGTCACAAGTCCATCACAGGGCCACATAGAGACAAACAACCATTCACCCTCTCACTCACACCAAGGAAAAGCTTAATTTGCTCATCACTGCTGTAAACGTATCCACTTTCCTTATCCAGGTTGATGCATAAATTCCTGAATTGCAGCAGATGGCAACGTTGGGAAACACAAAATACTGTATAGGTTTATGAAGCATCATCAGCCACTATAAAATGTAATTCATTCTATTAAAGCATCACATTTAAGATTATTCTTAACACTTCTTTTTCTTCTTATAGAACTACAGAACACTACAAAATAGAAGGACATATACAAACTTTCGTGAAGAGTGTTATAATTACAGTTTATTCTTAACACTTATGTAACCTCTCTGATCATTTCCCTCTCCT